TGGAGAGAATGACAGCAGACGCCAGTTATAAGAGGAACCTGTTTACTTGATGCTGGAAGAAATGGATGGACTGTGATACTACACAGACCGGACTTAGACCTTGGATTGTACTAGTCTCAAATTTGGTGTAATAACATTAAAGTCCATTAATGTTCCTGTTTTTGTTTTGGGGGTTTTGGTTTGTTTTTTTGTTTTTTTTGTTTTTTTGTGGGTCATACATGCAAAAAAAACCAGGACATTTAGGCTTTTACTTTGTAACTACTGATTAAGATGAAAGTACACAGTATATTAATTGCTGAATTTCAATAAAAAGTCAATAACAAACACTCTTCTGTGTTATATTGCACTGTGACAAGTGCTATATAATGATAAATTTATACAGCACTTCCCTGCTCTTTCTGGGGTGACTGTAGCTGCGGAGGCAGAACAGATCATCTATTAATTTGAACATCGGTGGTTCGATCCCTGGCTGCTCCAGTCATGCCAAATATCCCCTTTCAAGATACTAACCCGAAGTTGATCACTAACACATTCAAATGTGTGGATGTTAAAAAGAAAAGAAAAAAGTGCTTGTGTGATTGAGGCAAGTTTTATAAAGCACTTTGAGTGAAGAGAAGAACCAGTCCATTTACCATTTCACTCATTTACGCACACATTCATGCTGCCATTTGTGCACTTGCACTATATCCGATCCAGTAGCTGTTTGGCATGAATTATCTTCTCGTTTCCACATTTGGACTGAAGGAGCCAAGGCTTTTTAAAAACACTGCTTAACAAAGTTATTAGACCATAAAAAGATATTTATACAATCAAAACAAAAAACAAGTATTTTAGAAATCTATCAAAAATGAATATCTGGAAATATAGATATGAATTCACATGTTTTCTCTGGGGAGTCAAAATGTGGACTATTAGTGTGTGATCTGGAGTTGTTTGTGATCTTTTTTCTTCAGTGTATTATTCTATGTCTTTCATATTTATGCTGCAGTTTTCGCAGGTTTTTATCATGGAGAATATTTAAATATGTGTGTCTTGTGTTTTCTTTTCTGTGACATTTTAGTAACCATCTCTCTCTGTGCCTCCAACACCTGCAGGGGGGCAGTGGTTCACCTTTCTGCAATAATCTCGTCGGTACCAGAGAAGAAGATGACAGTGGGACCAGCTCACCAAAGGTAGCTTCGCTCTTACAGAACATGTCGTGTCATGCATAGCACGAATTATGTGCAAAACATTTTAGGCTAAAATCCATCCAAAAACTTGACATTGTAATTAGCGCTGACTTTATTGATATGAAATCAATTAACCGGTGTAACTTGGCAGCACCAGCTGTCACTAGTCAAAGGCATCCTCCTTAGTTTTGGACAGAGCCATGGTGTTGTGACCTTTGGTTGTCACGCGTCCACAGATGGATAGGTCGGACATAGAGGATGGCCTGGAGGAAGGGGACCTCAACGCCGAAGGGGAAAACGAAAGAGACCAGGAAGAGTTCACTATGAACCCCAACCAGCTGGACTTCTACCAAGCCAACCCCTTCGCCCGCTGTCAGTGTGACCGTATGTAACAAATTCAGAGGCTGAGTTACTATTGCTGTCATGGATTTCAGACTTTGGCACTCTTTTCTCTCTAATTTACTTTGAAAGAGGTGACATGCATTGCTGGATTGGAGTGGGTATCCGTTCACTTTGCATTGCAGTACTGAAAAGTTAAGAAAAGTTGCATTTCTGGAACATCAGCCTGGCCCCCAGACAGTTAGATCTGAATTATTCAAATGTTGTGCCAATGCATCTTTCCAAGCAAATCACTCAAGAGTGTGACTTTGTTTGCTTGGGTAGTTTGGCATCAATTTGAAGAAGTGGTTGATCATTGCAATACCTAATCTTCATGTTAGAATATGAACATACTTAAGCGCTACAGCTACACTCAAAAGTGATGTAATTGAATTGTTTGAGGGTTAAGGTGGTAATTGGAACTGGACATGAACTATGGCAGCCAGAGGACTGGGAATCAGAATTGTTAAAATCCAGCCTCTGGGTTGGTGGAGACTACAGCTTTTTTTCTGTCAGAAGGGACAACTTAATTCAAGTAGAACTTTTCCCACTAGGACATCGGGCAGCTCTGATCCTTGGGCTGTGTATGTGGTTCAAACTCTGGAGTAGGAGAGGACTAGAGTAGGGGCTCAGAAAGTAAACCAACCCAAGCTGGGCATCAAAACTCCTTCAACTCTAGGGACCAGAGGGAGCTAGGCTGTGACATTGTGGGATAAATGATAATTG